TCGAAAAAATTTACAAATAGGCCTAAAATACTATGCAAAAAAGAGGCATACAAGAGAGGTAAAGAAGCAAGTGTAAAAAGGAAGCCTCAAACAGGGAGAGGCCCTTAAACAAACATGAAAAGGAGCTCAAAATAATGCTATTTTCAGTTAATGTCGGAGCCCAAATATGCAAGCAAGTATGGCTAGAATATAGATCAAAATAAAGCAAGAAAAGAGGAAAAAAAGACTTACCCTTGAAGAACCAATCTTTGACAGCCTTTGGACCAAGTTTGGGGACTCTTAAGCTCTGGAAATGGACTTCAAGTTGCTGGAATGGAGTGAGGAGGAGGGGTGCTATGGGTTGTAGAGTAAAGGGTGTAGGAATGGTCCAAGAACAAAAGGGTTTTGATGTTTGGAATAGAAGGGAAGAGGGATTGAATGCAAGAGGCTTAGAACCAAAACTGTTTTAACCCCTGAAATGCAGCTGGAGGTGCTGTATATATAGGCAAAGAGGGAGAAAAAAGGGGGAATGGGATTCAAATTTTCCCCAAAAGTTGCCCCCCCAGATTCATAATCTGAGGGGAAACAAATACATATTTGTAATGTACCAGAGGAGGGATCAGGCCGGGTATGAGAGTTGCAGGTGCCGGTCGCCTTCCCATGGCCGGTCGCAGGTCAAAAGTCAATGGAATAATGGCCGCCATGCCAAAAAGAGGGCCTCTCATGTGTTGCACAAACAACCATTGTGGTCAAAAACTGGAGAAAGTAAACCAAGAGAGAGAAAAGCCCACTTTTTTGAGGGATTCAAAAGGGTCAAACACAATTATGGCTGGCCATGTGATATTGGTGGCCTCCCAGGTGTGTTAAAACCCAATATGTGGTTTAGGGCTGGAAAAAAGTGGCCTTAGGGTGGTCAACATTGGCTTTCAAGTGGGAAAAACGGGCGACGGAGGGCGATGGAGGAATAAAACTGGTTTGTCAGAACAATTGCTGGTCTTCTACCCTTCTACGACCTTCCTAACAATGAAACAGAGGTCCCTGCCAAAAATGAACTCAAACCGATGCAAAATGAAGGTTCGGGGGCCGAAACGCGCAGCCCGAGGCCCTGAAAACTGACTGTTAGGCACCGGAAGTGGTGTTTGACCACGAAGTTGGTTTTTCGAACCACAGTGTCCCTCAAAAGGGAGAAAATAAGATGCATGCCAAAAACCGGAGCAAACGGAGGTGGTTATGCGATCCCGAACCGAGGCACACGGCCAACGGCTCCGAAAAATCGAAAACCGGACTCCAAACGGGCAAAATGGCCTACGACCACGAAACGTAGCCTACGGCCACTGAGAGATGATCTACGAGACCTCTCCTTCCCTTTGGAAAGAGAAAACAGAGAAAATGGAGCCTGGTTCGCAAACCGGGGCAAAACACGAAAGAGTCCGGAGGCAAGGCTCGCAGCCGAGACTCTGAAACCTCTGAACAAGCACGATATGCAACATCACCAAGCGCTCAATCGGTGACGTCTGAGTCTTAAGGTCGGTAAAAAATGGAGTGTCTACAAACATCAATAAAAAGTTAAATAAAATTATTTTATTTTTAAATTTAAACATTTAAATTTTATTGAATTTTATTAAATATAATACATAATGAAATAGTAGAGGGTCAAAATGGTCATTTTACCACCTAATCCCAACAGTGGATAGTCCCCCAAAAGTTGTCCCACACCCCCCCTAGGATACAATAGTCCCCTATATGGGGGATAAGGGGTCCGGCTGGACTCCATGTCCGGTGGACTAAAATAAAAACAAACGGCGGATTGGATGCTTCCCCCGGATTACAATCGGCACAGTAAATAGTCCCCCCTTATCTCCCCAATCAAACAGACCCTTATGGCATTATTTTGTTTGATTATTATTTGTAGTGCAGTACTATTATTTAGATTATCTAATTCTACTTCTAATGCTTATATATCAAGATTGGAAAGGCTGAGAAACCAAGCTCTGATATCAATTCTAAATAGACTTTAATTTAATATTAATTGTTGTAGAAATTTTTTATCATACTCTAAATTTGTTTTTTTTAATGATATTTCTCTCTTAAGTTTAGCAATTTTCTAACTAGAAATTATAAATTGTCCTAAAAGAATAGTTAAAAGAGACTGTAATCTTTCTAACTCACTTTTTAATTCGAAAATGGCCACTTTTTAAACTGGAAATATAATCCCATTTTTTCTTGCCAAGAAGAAATTCTTTATAACACTAGCCCAATAAGCATAATTGGAATCAATGAGTTTACAATTGATAGCTTGGATTTTGGTGTCCAACATTGTAATAAACCAGGGATGGATTAAAGTGTAATAAACCACAAGCTAAGGGGTCACATTGTTATAAATAAAAGACTTACAAAAGAACATAAGAGAAGAACAGGACTAGCATCAGAACATAAGAGATGAGCAGAGAGAGAAAGAACTAGGGTCATGAACTAGAATCAGAAGTCGTGATGCTGATGAGGCAGAGAATGAGGAGTCGCGATGAACCGAGAGAGTCGAACTTGATGACCAGATGAAGTAGACGAACCCAACCCAACTTAGATGGGTTGATTCAAACCAGTGGTATCACGAATCGACAATGATTAATCGCAATTCACAGTAGATGGGTTGCGATAAGGAGTCGCGATTGAATTGAGAGGCAAAGAACTCTGGGTTGACTTTGAATAGTCTTCGAACTAGACAAAACCTTTGAGTCAGACGAAGAACCAGATGGAGTGAACCCACTACGGCTGCTAGGGTTTTGAATCTTCAAGCTAGGGTTTCAAACCAAGTTCTGATATTATGTAAGTTTTTTCGAATGATCTATATATTCAACTTGTGTTCTAATACAAAGAATACATCTAATTATATAGTAATCCTAACCTCTGTTATCAGAATCTTACGATTCACGATTCGATTCACGATTTTTGCAAAATCGATACGAATCTATGAGTGAATCTATTTTGGAAGGGAATCTTTAGTGAATCACACGATTCACAACCGATTCACGATTCGATTCACTTTTTACGATTCATGCAATTTTTGAAATTATTGTTTTCAACTCATTTTTTCGATCTTTTTAGTGAAAATGACATAATACAACTTCTAATAACATTTAATACCAAAATAACCAACATATATATATGATTTGTTGTTATTTTAGTGATCATGGAGTTTTTTATAGGATTCAATCAGATTCAGTCAAACCTAACATATTTTTAACTTTTCTTCTCATTTTTTTCCCCTTCAAAAAATTGTAATATATCTTCTAAAGATGTTTAAGATTAAAGTTACACTATGAATTATCTATTACTATTTTATTAAATTGAATATTACATATGTGAGGTCAGTTTTACTTTTTAAAATGTTTTAGGCTTTAAAATAAAATATACTAAATAATTCTTTCTTATTATTTGTTCACTCTTATTTAGAAAAGTATATATGCTTATTATCCAAATATCAATATCGTTGTTAACTATTGTTACTTTAGAAATTAATAGTTTGTCTATTTGGTTATTATCTTTATTAAGAATGGTTGATAAAAAATATCTAAAAAATAAAAAAAAAAAGGTAAGATAGTGATTTTACATAGAAATCTTTGTTAACTTCTTACCTATTAAATGACGTGATTATCATTCAAAATAACATTTTTGTTGATTTAAGTCTAAATATTTTACATTCATAAGATATATTTAACATCTAAATGTGTAGATATATGTTTTTAAGTAATTTAGAAAAAGTGACCGAATCTTTACGATTCACGATTCGATTCGATTCGCGATTCGGTACGAGGCCATTTCGATTCACGATACGAATCCCGATTTGACAACTATGATCCTAACCCTAAGACTAAAAAGGAAAAAAAAGCACTGGCATATATATACACCTATACAATCTCTCAGAATATATACACAGTATACACTACTATATATATATATATCTAACCTAATATTCTCACAGTTACAACAATAAAGAGTGATGTGCATACTATCCAAACAACTTGAAAGTTTCCATGGAAATGTTGTTGGCTGTTGTTTTAGAGAAGACTAACATACAAGAGCAAAAAGATGATAGTGTTGAAGATTTTAAAGAAACTATGAAAGACCAAGATGAACATGTTGATAATGTTGAAGATATTGAAGAAACGAAGGCGAAAATTAATTTTCTTACTAAAGAAAGCATGAAAGATCATCATGATCAAGGTTCTAAAGCCAAGGAAGCCAAAGAAAATGATGAGAATACCACTGAACTTTCTGGTCTTCACAAGAAAAGAGTTCACATTGAGTTTATTATTCCTAATAAATTTGATGTGGTCAATGGAGTGATGACAACATTGAATTTTTTGATTTTCTCATCATTCATTCAAAACAATTAATTTGAATGGTTGCAAGTGCAAAATTTCATAATTCTTATACTTCAACATTATAAAACTCGAGGTCAAGTTTTTTTGAATGCATGGGAGAATGATGAAGATCAAGGAAAGAAGAAAAAGAGTAAATCTGGAATTCCACATGAAGCAAATTTAGCGCATCAAGAATTAAAAATTTGGAATAATTTTGAGTTTTTCATGTCATTATAGTAGGTTTTAGTAATTAAGGGTATAATGGTAGCTCCAATAATTGTTGAACATAGGTTGTAGAGGTCACCCATGGGTTTTATTTTGGGTCAAGTTATTAAATGGGTTTTATATATGGGTTTTATTATGTCTAAAATAATTTTAGTGGCCAAAAGTTTAAGTTTCCTATTTTGATATTGAAGTAGAATTAGAAGTCATTAAAGTTTCCTATTTGATTGAAGTAGAATTGAAAGTCATAGTTAGTCTAGAATATTAGTAGTTGCTAAATATTTTAAGTTTCTAAATTTGAATTATAGTCCTTATAGAATTAGGAGAGCCTTTAGCCTATAAATATATGCGTAACTCAATGATTGAGGAGCCGGGTTAATATTATGAAGATTTGATATTGTGTTTGTATGATTGGCCTATCTCTTGTGAGGGTGAAGCACCTCTCTCTCTCTCTCTCTGTCTCTCTCTCTCTCCTCTTCTTCTTCTTCTTCTATCCAGCAAAGCTACTGTTCACGTCACTGTTCATGGTGCTTAGAACAACCACCCAACTATCTCTAAACACTTGTGTTTTCATTCCCAAAACCCTACCTTTTTACAAACCCTACCTATTTTTTAAATACTTTTGCAGCCACAAAATCTCACCAAATCTAGCCATGTAAGTCTATTGTTGCTGCTGCCAGTATACTTAAATCGGGCTCACTACGTGTAGGAAAGTAATCTCTACTCGTCTTACATCACTCATATTTGTTCATGAAAGAATTATTCTGTTTTATGGTATATTTGGAAGGTTCCAAAGGGCTATTGTTTGAAAAATGATGAATTCAACTGATGGGATATTGGTTCGCTTGGTCAAGTAAGAGTTGATTTCTTGAGTTAACACAATGAATCATTAAGTTTTTTTCTCCATTATAGTAGGTCAATTGGTGGTGTTATAGTTCTGATTGGGTGTTTTGTTGGTTTTCAAAGTGGAATGTGCAGAGTTTTATTTTTTATGTGATTCTGATTCAGCTCTTATAGATTGTCTCGTTCTAAACTTTGACATGTTTGATAAATTGCCTAAAAGGAGTGGAGAAAAGAGTGAGAGATTACATTGTACAGACAAAAACATTGTTTCTATTATTGGCTCTTCTACACCTAGATGGTTTCAATGGAGCAAAGGTGGATTTGTTACCTTGGGTTGCCATATAAGCCATTCCATGTGCCACAGGATATTACGTAATATTATTACGAAGGTCAAGTTTTATGTACCTTCTAGAATTAGAACTTAGATCTCACATTGAGCTTCTTGCAATTGACAAGCACTTGAGTCTCCATTTACCTTCTGTAGTTGTTCTTCAAGCTAAATAACATGCGAATTTTGCGAAGTACCTAAAGACACAAGCTGGTGCCTAAAGGCACCCATCAAGATGAGTCGCCTTGTGTTGGAACACTTGGAGGGTGGTTTGTTTTCTTTTGTTAAAGTGTCTATTTTTGTTTTACATTTCATCTTTTTTTGGTATTTTCAGTTAGGTTCAGAAATTTTGCTTTGTTCAACAATCATTCTTTGATATGTGATCACTTTGTATGAATTCAATTTGTTATTAGGGAAGTAGTTTACTCTATTCTAACTTTTGTTTAACTTATTAATTATATGCAAGATGTAACATTTTTTTATGTCATTTGATTCCTTATCCTACTACCCTTGTGTTTTCAAGATTTTGAGGTTTTTTTTTTTTTTTTTGAGTGCTTGATTGAAGTTTTTTTTATTAGAGATTTGTGGACAGAAAGAAAAAAGAAAGGAAAAGGTGAAAAAAACAACCTTTATTTCACACTTTTTCTATATATTTTTCTTTTCTGTCACAAATTCCTTTTAGATGGATATAAATTTCAAATCAAGCAATTTGGAGTTGCTTCAGCTATGGGCATGGGCTATCGTGCGAAGCACGACGCCTCACTACTAGTAGATAGATATAGAGATATTTTATTATCCATACTATCTATATAAAAGGGTCATAAAATAATGTTCGGATCCTCTGGATAGCTTTTCTCTGGGGTGATCATGCAGTGTATGAAACGACGTGGTTTTGTGTACTGTTGAACCAAAGGAAAAAAAGAAAAAAAAAATTATAGGCCAAAATGTTAGATGTTAGATTCACATATGAAACAAAGAAGAACAATAGAAAGAAAGGAAGAACCAAAAGACTGCTCAGTTTATTATGTTTATTATCTTACCCTTAAACACATTAGGGTTACACACATTTATAATAAAAGACTAAAGAAGCAAATGGCATAACTACCCTCACACACACTAATACTTAGCACTCCCCCTCAAGTTGGTGCAAAGACATCTCTCATGCCCAACTTGCAACAAATGAGGTGAAAAACCTTACTACTAAGACCATTAGTAAAGACATTAGCCAATTGATCTTCAGACTTCACAAAAGGCATACATATTAAACCCTTATTCAACTTCTCCTTGATGAAATGTCTATCGATCTCAATATGCTTTGTTCTATCATGCTAAACAGGATTGCGAGCAATACTAATGGCAGCTTTGTTGTCACAATACAGTGTCAATGGTTCACTGCAAACAAACCCAATATCATTTAACAAGAACTAGAGCCACATCCACTGTTGGAAATTAGGCTTTTAGCGGCGTTTAAAAAACGCCGCTATAAGTACCAAAAACGTCGCCAATTCTTTTTGTGACGTTTAATACCAAACGTCGATGACGCGGCCGTCGCTATAACTTTATGGCGTTTGGAAAACGTCGCTGTATTAGTATAGGCGGCGTTTTTAGAAACGCCGCCAAATGCCCTGCCCTAACAATACTGTGACGTCAGTATGATTTTAGCGACGTTTTTAAAACGCCTTCATAGGTTTTTTTAATTTTAAAAATTCCAACCGTTATAGTGGCATTTGAAAAACGCCGTCTTATCTTTCTTTTTTTTTTTTGGTTTTGAAATTGTGCTAATTTTATGTGATTGAACTAAAAGAACACCAATAATAAAACTAAATAACACTAATATGAAATAATAACTCCCATTCAAATAACAAATATAGTATTAATTCACTTTCCCATTCAATTTAATATAGTATTAATTTTTCCACAAAATAACATATCCAAAAATTGAATTCACAATTCTCAATTAAAAAATTACTACCTTATATACAAAGCCACAAAAGTTAAATCCAATTAAAACATAAAACCAATAAGTACCTTAAAAATGTCTTGGCTTCGAATTGTGGAAGATACATTACAGGGATTTAAAATTATTAGAGAAACTTACTAGAAAAGGCTTATGCCGATGACTATGAATGGCAATATATTACCTAGAACAACCACTAGTCAAAATCAGAGGATATGAACTGGAGGAATGTGGTCCAAATAAAAGAAGTGGAGGAAGAAAATATAATGATATAACAGAGGAAAAGTGAAAGCTCTAAGAAACAACAACTAAAACATATGATGATACTATATTTAGAAGCAAGCAAAGGAAGCACAAGAGAATGCATGTGTCTGGCGATACTATATACTGTGCTATTATATGTTCACAACATTAAATTGAATAATCCATGCCAAAAAAGTCCACACACACGCACAAGATTTCACCTTGTGCAGCCCATGATGAAGATTCAAAAAGTAGGTTTTAATATAACAAAGCAGGCAAGTATAATAATAACAAATAAATAAACATTCACAAAGGGAAAGCAAAGCAGAATATAGTCAAAAGAATCCAGCAAAAAAAAAGTGAATACATTAGCATTTCTAAGTACAAATAGTTCAAGTCTTTAACCACGTGTGGCGATAACAATGGCACAACAATGCATAATGAATAAGGTCTTCAAGTACATGCAATCTGCAAACATCGCGAATCAGCTTAATGCAGAATCTATACGAGCTAAAATTGAATAGATAAACACATGCATACACATATACACATACAGATCTGAGAAAAACACCTGATTGATCAGAGAAAAAAGCAGTATGTTCTGGATCGATCGGAACCGGAAATCGGAGAAAACCAAATCGATCGATCGATCAAACTTGTATCAAATTATTGAAATTGAACACAAACGAAGAACAGTTTATGATTAGAATTGCACGAACAATCACAATTGATATGATGATTTATATATAGATATATATATAAGAGAGAGAGAGAGAGAGAGAGAGAGAGAGAGATGAGTACCGAAGAGATTGTGTCCGAGAAGGAGTCGGACAGCGGATCAGAGCGAAACACAAATCTGAAAATACTTGCGAAACACAGATCGAGAGAGAGAGGGAGACAGAGACAGAGATCGAGAGAGAGATCGAGAGAGAGAAGAATCGACGAAACTGAGATTGGATTGAAATCGAAATCGAAATCATGCATATCGTTAGTAGGCGATGCAGATGCAGATGCAGATGGTGATGGCGGTGGCGGTGGAGCTTTGAAATCAAAATCATTCTGAGATTGGATCGATCGAATGATGAATCACCGAGCTGAAGAAGGTTGAATCAAGTTGAAGGAATTGAAGGGCTTAGAGAGAGAGAGAGAGAGAGAGAGAGAGAGAGAGAGAGATAGATTTGAGGGATCGGTTTCTTTGAGACTCTAGGGTTTCTCAGATTCAAATAAGTTGTGAGAGATTTGAGGGCTTGAAGACAGAGAGAGAGAAACAGTGTAACACATTCAAAGGCGCTTTTTAAACGACTTCATTACTTAAACGGTATCGTTTTAATAAAAACAAAATGTGACGTTTATAAAATGTCGTTAAATATTGAAAATAGTGGCGTTTAAAAAAACGCCGTTAAATCATATATTTCCTGTAGTGATCAGTTCACATATACCATGCGCTATAGCCCTGTATTCTGCCTCTGCACTAGATCTGGACACCACTGTTTGTTTCTTACTATGCCATTGTGACTCAATACCCCCCTACAAATGCACAGTAACTGAAGGTTCCCCCCCTACAAATGCACAGTAACCGGAGGTAGATCGCATGTCATCTATAGAACTAGCCCAATCATCATCTGTGAACGCCTCCAACCTCAAGTGACCATGATTGGAAAATAAAATTCCTTTTCCAGGAGCATATTTAAGATACCTCAAAATGCGATACACTGCATCCAAATAAAGTGCACGAGCCTCATGTATAAATTGACTCACTGTCCCAACTGCATAGGCAATATCTGGATGAGTGTGAGATAAATATATAAGCCTTCCCACAAGTCGCTCGTACCATTCTTGCTCCACAAGATTACCAACACCACTACCAAGACGGTGATTAGCCTCAATTGGCGAATCAGCAGGTGGGCAGCCTGGCATGCCAGTTTCTTCAAGAAGATCTAGGATATACTTCCGCTGAGAAATGAAGATGCTTTTGTCAGATCTGGAAACTTCAATTGCAAGAAAGTACCTCAACAGACCAAGATCTTTTGTCACGACCCGCTCCCCGTACCCAAGGGTTAAGCATCGTGATGGCCAGTAACTGAAATTACCTCCGACCAATT